TGGCAATTTACATATTGGGCCTTGATTAGTACCAAAAAGGCCCATCTCAAATATTTCCACCCCTAAATAGATTTTGGGATGAGTCGGTTAACACAGAAATCGTCTTTATATCTTTATTTCGCCATCGCACTTTTCTTTCTCTCTACTCCAATTCCAAATCTCTCTCTCAGAATGGCTGCGACGATGGTTCTTGACCCTAAAGCCACTCCGGCGTTGATGGATCTGTCTACGGCGGACGACGAAGATCTCTATGGTCGCTTGAAATCTCTTGAGCGGCAACTAGAGTTTACCGATATCCAAGAGGAATATGTGAAAGACGAGCAAAAGAATCTCAAACGAGAGCTCTTACGGGCTCAAGAGGAGGTCAAAAGGATTCAATCGGTGCCCTTAGTGATTGGCCAATTCATGGAGATGGTGGATCAGAACAACGGAATCGTCGGATCTACTACTGGGTCCAATTACTATGTTCGGATTCTCAGCACCATCAACAGAGAACACCTAAAGCCTTCTGCTTCCGTCGCTCTTCACCGTCACTCCAATGCCCTTGTTGATGTCTTGCCACCTGAGGCCGATTCTAGCATCTCCCTTCTCAGTCAATCTGAGAAGCCTGACGTCTCCTACAATGTAAAGCTTCGTCTTTTTTACATCTTAACCTTTTTGGATTCTAGATTAGGGTTTGTGTTTTGAGTAAAAATCGTGCCTTTTTGTAGGATATTGGAGGATGCGATATTCAGAAACAGGAAATTCGTGAGGCTGTTGAATTGCCACTTACCCATCACGAGCTTTACAAGCAGATTGGTATAGACCCTCCACGAGGTGTCTTGCTATATGGACCTCCTGGTACTGGAAAGACTATGTTGGCTAAGGCCGTTGCAAACCATACAACTGCTGCCTTCATTAGGGTTGTTGGCTCTGAGTTTGTGCAAAAGTACCTCGGCGAGGTATAAATTACAAAACTTTCTTAATGTTTTAAGTTCTTATTGGTGTTTCTGTTTGGTGCCTGAATCTAGGCCTTTTGATTGCAGGGACCTCGTATGGTTCGTGATGTTTTCCGTCTTGCCAAGGAAAATGCTCCAGCTATCATCTTCATTGATGAGGTAGACGCCATCGCTACTGCTAGGTTTGATGCTCAAACAGGAGCTGATAGGGAAGTTCAGCGTATTCTCATGGAACTTCTTAATCAGGTGAGAACAGGATATATATAAGTGTATCTTGATGTATTCTGATTTTCTCTTAGGATGTAATTTAGTTCTTATATTGTAGACTAATGAACTTTAAGAAAACTTATGTCTGGTGCTTTATAAATGAGATTTTGATAGAGTTATGTCCTTAACTTGTTATGTTGAATTTGTTGTAGATGGATGGATTTGACCAGACTGTGAATGTCAAGGTCATAATGGCAACCAACAGAGCAGACACTCTTGACCCGGCTCTCTTACGTCCTGGGAGACTTGATCGTAAGATTGAGTTTCCTCTTCCTGATAGACGTCAAAAGAGGCTCGTTTTCCAGGCAAGTTAATTACTACAAGTGCTTGAATGTTATCTTAAATGAAAGTGTCTAGTGCTCTCTTTATCTCTTTAAATACAATACGTTCGGGTTTATCACAGTTTCTGTCTTATTGACTGGTTTTTCCTTGTATAGGTATGCACGTCCAAAATGAACCTCAGCGATGAGGTTGACTTGGAAGACTATGTCTCACGACCTGATAAAATTAGCGCTGCTGAGGTTAGTTGATCTTTATTACTATTCTTGCTTCCCACTAGTTTTCTTTCACCACCAATGATATATCCTCCATTGTTTCTGGGTCACCACCTAATGATGTTTTGTGATATGTGCGCTTGAGCATAATCCTGATCATAGATTTTTGTTTAAGCATTATGTATGGGATGTTAGCTGAGTCGTTTAGTCTTTGTACATCACATTCATGAGCTGAATTATTGAGAATCCAAACCTTGGTAGTCCTTATGAGTATTATGCATTCAAAGATGATAGATATTAAATAACAAACTATTTCGTTTTTATGCTGAATAACGCAGATAGCAGCAATCTGCCAGGAAGCTGGAATGCATGCCGTGCGCAAGAACAGATATGTGATTCTGCCTAAGGATTTCGAGAAGGGGTACCGCTCGAATGTGAAGAAGCCAGACACGGACTTCGAGTTTTACAAGTGAAGAGAATTCGGCAATGGGAATCAGATTATGGGTGCTGTTCAAATTCCAGTGGTTTTTCTGAGTTATTTTGCAGTTTAAGTGTATGAACTAAATTGCATCTCTCAACTTGTGGAGCTCAAGTCCACATGTGTTTGTGTTTAGTATCTCAGCTTTTTACAATTTAATTTTATAAGAAAAACAGTGGATGATGTCCTTAGAATTTGTCAGAACATGGAACAATAGCAAGCAACAAGTTATTATAATGTCTGTTTTCTGATTGAAAATAAAAAAACAGTAATGTTATAGAAATGGACTTTACTTACATGGACAACATCTACCATCAAGACGCCTAGATGGGTTGGATCTTGTTTTGGCATTTGGTAGTTGATGACGTGACTAGTTTTACTTTGACATGCAGATCAAGAATGATGCAATAATGCACATCAATAGAGAATAGTAGCAAGGAGTGGTTGGACTGGCCAGGATTATACCATATCCAAATGATTACTTTCTACCAATCCAATAAAAATTAAGCTTTCTTTTCTAAAACAAAAATTTGCATTTGGCCGAGTGTACTTGTCATTTTGCAATCTCTAAGAATCTTAAGCTTGGTCAACCTCTTGG